AATAGTTATTACTTATTATGATTAAATTATAAGTCGCCACTGTTGCCTGTTCTTTAGTAGGCACACATACAAATTGTGTACGTACTAACAACATGACGAAAAAACAGACTTTGGAAAACTGACTCTTTTGCAATTATTTAAAGTCTTGTTTGTATTATTATTCTTATTTATCTTGTATACCACAATTAATGTTGAGTCCTCAAATTGTATGCCCTGGATTTTTAAACCTAAACGATTAAATGTGATATAGCACGAAACACGCATACATAAAAAATGTTTGTTTGACTTTCTGACCGTCTGACTGTCTGTTTATCTGTTTTCCGGGAAAGTCTTCAAAACCGGCGATCCGATTTTGACGGAAATTTCACTGTGCTATTGTAGGTCACGAACTCATAATATATCATACAACTTAAAAACGAAAAACGATAGATAGATATAGATTGATTTTGACCCGAACGGAGTGGGATGATGCAGAATACAGTCTTATTATATATAATATATAAAATCTGCTTGGACAATACAGCCCTTGAGTCAAAGTGAACATACGTTTTCTATGTTTTAAATAATAATAGTAGTTTGTGTAGTTTTAAATGTCTAATGTTTCTGTAGTTTGAACTCTCTGGTTTACGTTGTGTCGTTGTCGGTTATTGTAAATAAAAAATAGTGGAGGACGATGTATGTATACAGGATTTAATGTCGTGTAAAAAATTTAACGGGATATAATATAGGTGTAGTCAAAAAAAAAAAATGCCTGTGCGGCGACATCTGTATCTCCATCTCGATAGTAATAGTATATATATATATATATATATATATATACTTTGCCATTAATTTAACACCGCAGTGTATACCTATATATAATATATTATACACTGGTGTAGTCGTGTCTACAATATATGATAGTATCTCATAATATCCGATAAATATCCTATAGACAATAATACAATACGCGTCCAACACAATAATATTATAATGATGTGAATATTGAATATTGAATAGCAAGGCGATAATTTAGTAACAATAATAATTAATAACAATAATAATAATAATAAAATATATTATATATATATAGATACGTAGGCCTTATAGGTATGTAGTACACTTTTGTAGTGCTATTCATCGACATAAACGATGATATTATGCCTATATAGGTACGACCCGCGCGCGGTTGCAAGTCGCCTAGAACCAATTGTTGCTTTTGGAGGCCAACGCGTGCGTACGACGTAACTATTATATAGTTCTTTACAATAATGTGGTTATACATACGTCATATAGCTGTGTTATGGGTAGGACGCTGTTTGATTAATCGATGTCACATCGCCGTATTACACAGTACCTACGGTTTCAAATCGAATTAGAATGTTAACATCGAATATATACACGTAGTACGATTTTATAGGCACAGATTGCAATCGAAATATAATGACAGAACACGGCAATTATATGTGATTTTTTATTTTTCATTAATAACAACGTGTTGATATCATTGGAGCTGTCGGAAGACTGTTATATTGCAGATATGGAATGTCGGAGATCCCGCGATCGCAAGACTATTACTAGGTACATAATAATATGACGCTAGAGCAGAAATTATCGGCAGGGTAGGAAGAAAATCATATGAATATACTAATCATCCGAGCGTTAATCGTTGTACTCGTACGTGCTGTCCCGACGACTTGTCCGGGAAGGGGTGACAATTTTTTTTTTTAATTATCATACAGTCATTTTTCTCGTTCGTCTCTGAAACGATATATTTTACGCAGCATTATTTACAATATACCAGCTGTGTATTTTACATTTATTTATTTATTTATATTATTTCTCAATCTATATCGAATAATTACTATATGTATGATATGAACGGTTTAGGCACAGAACAGATTTAATCTATTCTGTGGTTATTACGTATACGTTACCACACGCCACCGTTATTACAACAATAGCCAATAATAGGTATATACTAATCTACCGATTCATATACGGCGACCTCAAACCGTTCGATTAACAGACCTGGCTGGGGGCGTAGTCGCAGGCGAGGACCAACGGCGGACTTCGGTTTTTCACTTCCGGTCGCTATAGTTTTGGCGACTATATTTCCGCGGAATTTTCGGCGTTTCGCCGTGCATGTTTCCGGTAATCGCGTGATTCCGCGTCGATCGGAACCGCCATAGCCCGCAGAGAACCGCTGACGTTTTTCCCGACCATTCCTCTACTACCACGCCGTTACCTACCACATCTGTCGCAGTCCGCATAGACGCACAGTGGCGTGATCAGCTTTGTCGGAAGGGTACGGGGTGTGCATTTCGCACTATTCTCAGACCGCGCAGTTGAAGTATATAGCAGTAGATATCCTTCCATCGCTTCGTCATGACACAAATGAGCAAAAGGCTGATATGAGACCCTCATCCTCCCCGCGCAGAGCACGCCCCTGCAGAAGACTTAACGGACTACGGAGCAGTTGTGATCGTCGTCCCTACAGCGGCGTGGGCTGGACCACATCAACACTCAATAAGACCACGCTCCTAGTATACAATTTGTTTTTTTACTTTCTAACTAATTGTTAAATAATCATTTATTTTTAAACATTACGCCATTAATCGTCAATATTAATTATTCTACATTTGGTAGGCACATATAGCAGACCATTCGTTCATTAAAATGTCGCCATTTTTTTTTTTAATTTGACACGGCTCTTATGATCGATACGACAATCGAAATGCAAAGTAAAAAGTCGTAGGACAACTAGATTTTTAGTCAAAAATGTATAGTGTTACAAATACTTCTGACCATATCTATGTGACGTAGGTACAATATCATATAATATATTAACACATTTAAAAAACACTAAAATGGACTTGGAAAATTAGTGTAGCCCGCAGTTTAACACATCACTCTGCTCACGTCGCACACTACCTATTAACTGCATGTCACATCGAAAGCCATTTACAGCTTATGTACAGACATAGTATACGCGTATAGATTTTTATTCGATGTGGCGTGACACTGCAGTGACAATGATGCGCACGTGAAATAAATCGCCACAGCATCGTCGTTACACAATAGACGTAACCTATTACGTTGAATCGGTTCGCCGTCGGGTTGACGGTCTGTGGGGATTAAAATATTTCGCTAGACGGTCGCCAACGACATAAAGCGAAACTAGATAGGAAAAAAAACTAGTTTTCTAACAGATCTGCTAAGATACGGCCTAGGCATATACGTAACGACATCTAGCGCGCGTTCGTGTGTGTAATTATATTATATTATTATTGGGTATATGCGTATATATAATATTGTGTGCTCTGCGCATGTGTATTTTAACGGGTTTAGTTCGTTTTCGTCACGTTTTAACGGCTCATTATTAATGTATTATTTCCGACGGCGTGCCTGGTTGCAGTGCGCGTATACGAGATGGCTATTTCTGATGTCACAATTTTATCTGTTGAAAGTAAACCCATTTATCTACAATAATATGGACTACGCGGGTAAAGGCGTAAGGCTAACTTCTATACAGTGACATTACGTATAATTTATTCTGAACACTTGAAATCCTTTACGCGCATGCGCGATCCATAATATTACACTTTATGGTGTTTATAAAATAAATTATTGATGATAAAAAGTAAAAAAAAAAAAAAGGTTTAATGGCTTATTGATTTCCTCGGCTTTACGCGTTAAAAATATTTATAAATATATAGGACGAGTGTCTGTAGTTAGAATTACGATATTACACGGTTACGTTTAAATAAATAGAAATACCAACAAATATGTTTGTCATCTTGTCAAAACAATGTATAATAAGTAGTTCGACTTTGCTCGGACGAATCGTTGTCGCAACTGCAGGGTACATTTTATAACTATTTTTTAGGAGCTTTTTGAAGTATCAGCCTCTATACTTATATACATACACTTACCATAACCATATCTCGCATATTTAATGTTTTCATTCGTTTGTTGCTATATGACGTCTCGTCTATAATAATAATAATACTGTGTTCTCCGCATTAATACTAGCTGACTCGTGCTGCAAGTATAGTTTGCTTAATCTGAAATGCAGTCTCTTGATGAATCTCGGGTGAGCTGATAAGGCTTGCTAAAGAAAGAAGAAACATAACAATCTTACCAATTATAACCGGCCACCTGCAGCTTTGTGCAGGGTTTCTCTTCTAGTGGGTGTGACTAGGATCTAATAGGTTACAGGGGCTATGGAGTCCTAGAAAACCTAAGTTCAAAACAATATAGTTGTTGAAGGCGTAGCCAAAAAATATCCCTCCTCCATGATGCCTTCCATCAAAAGCGTCTCTGGAGTTTAGTAGTCGATGTCAGTTTAGTGTAGATTAAAATACAATTTGGAATACTATACGAACGGAGGACCGACTATGGCGATAATATCACTGTTATAATACGTATACAGTGTAAACGGATAATAATTATTAATAACTAAGACTGGGATTTTAATGCCCTAAAAAAACCCGAAAAATGTCCTAAAAAATGCTTTTATGATCTACAAATTTTTTTTATTTTTAATAATTTTAGTATAAATTACAATAAAAAGTTTTAAAAAAATATGCATTATAAAAATCTATTACAAATGTAAACTGTAAATACATAGTTTTAGTATAAATCTAAAAAAAAAAGTTGATGTCCGATAATTTAATACGAATTACGAGTATCTACTTATAATCTGTTATTTTTATTTAAAAACCATATTGGTGTAAAAATCTTAAAATCTTAAAATAAAATTTCAAATTCATATACACTTGGTTTCCAAAAACTCAAAAAATGCTCCAAAAACTCTTAAATGCCCTAAAAATTAAGAAAATGACCTAAAAACCAAAAAATGCCAAAAAATGCAAAATACACTTTCTTATTCTCATTCAAATGTACGTAAAACAAATTTGTGACAAGTCGAGCATTGCACAGTAAGCTTTGAAAAACAATGCAAAGTGCATCGAAATCCCAGCCCTATTAATAACTATATTGATCGTTGTCGTTTGCAGGGCTGCCACCGCGGCTCTGGTGGAGAAGCAGAGCAGCGAAATGTTGGAGCTGATCAACGAGAAGCGCAGCGAGTACATGATGGCCGAATCGCTGTATCTGGACGACTCGACGATACCGGACGAGACGGCCGAGGCGCTCAACGACAACGTGCAACCGTATCCGGGCAAGGCGCCGCTGCCGCCGTCGCCGCACGGCGTGGCCCAAGCAAAGTTCCAGCTGTACTCGGACCCGCTGGAGTTTGCGCACATCGACCAGATCGCCATTTCGGTAAGACAATAAGATACGATCGATGTTAAATAGGTATTATGTGCATCGAAGCTGCGATTGCCGAGCGATATTTTAGCGACGGGCAAAGTCAGCACAGACACTTAATAAAACATCGCGAATCCAAAGACAAGGCCATCGTAGGTAGGTATAGGTATTTTATTGACTATAAACGGATATTGGGTTCGAACCGGTCGAAGAGCCCAATACATATTTTCCAGCACTGTAGATTGTTAAGTCAACTTCAAACAGCCGTGTTTCGAACAAAATTTGAGAGCGCGTATGGGCGACCACCCGTAAGTCTATACTAGCGAGTCGTAGTTATATATAAAAGCCATGCTCTTTTTGCCCGTCAACCACTGGTCGTTTATCTTATATTCCTAATGCTATAGGCCACTCAAGTACGCTATCATAATCAAATATCACCGTCGGACATGTTTATATTTAATCGGTCAACACTCATACTGCAATCGTCATTTATACTACCTATATTATTGTGCTTAGTGGTGATGATTGTGCTGAGATGCTGAACAATAGAAAAAAAATAATAACAAAACAAATCTAATTAAACGCGATTACTGCAATTATATCATATTATCAATTCTTCTTGTTGTTGGATTAAAAATGAATTTTTATGACACACGCTATCCCTATGGTAGTATATACAATATATAATATAATATATGTACCTTTGTATATTATAGCTTAGGCTATAATTATTAATACATTTATAATTTATATGGTAACTGCTATTTGGTAAGGTATGTTTGTTTGATCGCTGTAGGTGTAGAGGTTGTGTGTAGTTCTGAACTTTAATATACCTACCCATACATATTATTATACAGTACTTAATCGTGTATACGTCAAGTAAGGACCTATTGGACCCCAATGATTTCCAGCACGATAATTAATCACGACACGTAATTGTAATCAACGTAAAAAAAGTATTTTAAGGTTAATGCTGTAAATACTAAAAATCTTTTCTCTATAAATTACAATATACTATTAACTATTGACAGTTACCTATCTGTATATAGAATACCATCATTTTAGCACTTGTTGTACGAACAATGAACATGCCATTTTAATGATTATATTACAGCTGTCGATCTATTGTCGTCGGTCAACGGCTTAAAACATGTTTGAATACTATTAGGCATACTTCGTACTTCCATAGAAGATAATCCATAGTTAGTCGGAACTATAAAATGTATACAATACTGCACAATTTAGTGCTTTGTTCGAAATTTATGCAATAACCATATTAAATTAACTCAATTTTAAAATAATGTTACGCAGGTCAGTACCTAACACCTAAGCGTAATAGTAAGAGTTATATAGGAAGTGATAAGACCTAAGTTAGTCGAAGAGCTCCAAAAAGAAACTATAAAGTAACGTTATATTAAAGTAACTACTAATAACTAATACTTTTTAACGGTCATCATTTTTTTTTTTTGTAATAGGTACCTCTTACTATGATATATTATTATTATAAACCCTATAGTAATTGAAAAATGTATGACAACGAGGTACCTGCAAAGTAGGTAATAATACCTATTTAACAGATGACGGCTTATCCGTTTCGAATATTACATGGTGATTTTTTTTAACTCGTTTGAAAAAAAGCTTGCTCGGTACGATGACTGAAGTAGATATAATATAACCTAGGTAGACCTTATTTAACACGGCAAAATGTGACTAAACACTGGTTAGGTATAGACTTTGATGATCCTTTTCAAACTATATAGTTTCCGTTATTAAAACCGTTTTTATTTTCGATTCGTTCTGGTATAGTTTACAATGACAAGAAAACATACAATAACGTTTAGCGCTACATTTATAAGTTTCTTGGGAAATATTAAAACGAACATATTTTACAGCAGTTTTGATGTGTTTATAAATCGTATTTTATCCACTAGGTATTACGATTTATGAGCATCATTTTATATTATAAGTTATAACGATTATCTGCTGTCAAAACTAACTGTGAATCCATTGTCTATATATACAGACAGTGGCGTAGACAGGAATTTTCATTGAGGGGGGATATATATATAATATATTCATTATGTCTCAGATAAATCGTAGGGTAGTACCCCCGCACTAATATTATATATTAAAAAAAAGGTTATGAGGAGAATCCACCCCCCATATCCTATCGTGTATACGAAGAATGACCATAATATGCACCTACACAATAACATAATTTTATATGAGTGTTATAAAATTTTAATAAATTCGAATATCAATAAACTGCGTAACTAAAAACTCATCTGCATTTATAGAATAGAACAAAATAAATTGTAATAAATAATGTAATATAAAGTGTAATAAACAACAATATAAATTTAATTTTTTTAACTTTAACGTGTAAGTAATATATTATACATTATATATTTATATTGTGCTCCATGATTTTCACAGGTAGCACAAGAAGACCAAAAAACCTTTACAGATTTAGTAAGGATGTTGGTGGGAAAATGCGGTTCGGACATTGAAAAAGCCAGGTACATAACATAAAATATCAATAAATTGACGAAATAGAAAAAAAAGTTAATTTATTTAGAAGCATTTAGTAGTTGTAGCACTATTGACTAATTATACACCTATATATATTTAATCAATGGTAGTCCTTAATATATATAATGTCTTGTAATAGATAATGAATAATTTTAGGTTTTGATAATATATTATTACTGGATTCGATGTATTTTATTAAATACTGCAGAATATGTCTAATTTATGCGATTTGTACACAAATGTATCTATTCTATATTTGTATTCAAACTCAGTATTAACCATTCAAATTAAACATCAAATAATATTTTACAAGTTGTGTCATAACTTTTGTTTTCTAGGACGATTTTCCGATGGATTACTGTCAAAAACTTGAATACAATGAATTTCGATGACAATCTGAGGGGTGACACGCCAATGGGCCTACTCAGAGGTATTAAACACGGAACTGAAAGTTACCACGTACTATTCAAACGATTATGCAGGTACGTTTACAAGACGATCATAACACTCTGGTCTTTACGCTTTACACGTCTTACGTTAGGTTCGATACTGTTATTGAATGTTAAATTTATTTTCGAAGACCGTCCAAAACATTTTATTGGGTCTCTTTATATTTTAGCATCAACAGTATTTAACGTTTATCTTACTTCGTAGTTGTGCTTTAAACGTAATTGACGTAACGTATCTATATAAATAATGCTCTATTACAATACCAATCAGCTCTCGTTGATATACTTTGAAACCGTGAACCTACCTAAAATTCACAACATATTGAATGCGCAGCTATGCTGGTTTACACTGCGTCGTCATCAAGGGTTACTCGAAGTCAGCCGGATACCAACCAGGTGTTCATTTCGAAGACAGTCGATTCCGAAACTCGTGGAATGCCGTCTACGTAGCCGGCGCATGGCGGTTCGTGCAATGCAATTGGGGTGCACGGCATCTAGTCAACGCCAAAGAAGTGCCCAAAGTGGGAGCCAAAGGGAAATCCGACAGTCTAAGGTTGGACAATTAAATTAATTTGACTAGCTATGTTAGGGTTTTTTACGTTTTCATCAAACAAACAACGTTACTTGTTTGACATTGCAATTTCCGGTGTGTGAGTAGGCATACGAGTTGGTACCTACCTATACTTAATAAGTAATAAGTAATAAGTAATAACTCGCATAACAGTTTTAACGTGTTAACTCGCATTAACGTCTCAAGCCTTGAACCGTGAAATAATTTCCAAGTCAGTAGACTGTACTATACCGGCTTTCAATCCTGTAAATTAAATATGGAGCATATATAATACATGTATTGCGAAAACGATTTTTATTATAACCTTTAAGTTATAATTAATGATTTTAAAACACCTAAATTGAGAAGATTCATACTCACCATTACTGCTCATTCATGTCGATATTATTATATTTGAATTAAGGTGTAAAATGTTTTATTTAAATCATAACTGTAGTTATTATTTATTCAAACTTTTTTTACTATAAACCTACTTTAAAAAAAAATAAAATGCCTATTATTATTTATAGTATACATATTTTTGTTTAATTTTTTCGATTGTATACAATATAATATATTAATGATTAATATTTAATACCAATACGGTACTTTGTAGGTATGAATACGACGACCATTACTTCCTAACGGATCCACGCGAGTTCATCTATGAGTTTTTCCCACTGCAACCCGAATGGCAGTTACTCAAAAACCCTATCACTCAACGAGATTTTGAGGATTTACCATTCGTCCGGTCTCTGTTCTTTAGATACGGCCTCTACTTCCCAGATTCCAACACAAAAGCTGTCATGTATACGGACGCAACAGGTAATATATTATATATATATATATTATGACTTGATTACTTATGAATATAATTTGGAATATGATAATTAATGACAATGTAGGTGATGTATGGGTACTATACCTATTGCTTATTATAAATTAATAAATTACAAACTAATGAGAAAGTAACTTTACTTGCTCAAGTTCAATTGGCTGAAAAAATTTAATTAAAATTTATTATTACTGAATGTTCAATGTAAGATCACGAAACAAATAATAGAAAATGCGTTTTATTATATATTAAATTACATTAATATTTATGAACAATTTTGACAATGTTGACAATATTTTTTATTTAAAAGGAACCGACTTTCCTGAGTAACTTCTATGTAGTAAAAAATAACTCATTGAGTCGTTTAGTTAGAACATCTGGAAATATACAGTAAAATAAAAGTTATGAAATAAAATTCCCAACATAACTTTAATGACAAATGGTTACTTTAAGCTATATATTGGTAGTTTAGTGTAATGACATTGTGCATTCTATATAACAAAGTATTTATGATAAGACCTATACCTGAAATATTATAAATTATGCAAATCGATGTCGTCTCGCAACACGCTACACTAAATCCAGTCGAATGCCACGCAATTATAAAATGACTTTCGTCAATCCAGCGATTTCTACAATAAAAAGCGTGGCAAATCGACAAAAGAATATATATATACATATTATAAGACCACCAAAAGTGGATTTCTATAACGGCAGCTTATATATATAATATACCTACGATACAGTATTTTTTGCGTGGCATAGATTTGCAGTATTCCATCGATTTATGTACCGGAAAGGCGGAAACATTAATTTGTAAACCAACTAAACTCGCGCGTCTAATATATTTGGTTCTTTTCAAATATTTTTGTTGTATTTTCAATACAACCCACGTGTGGACGATTTAAAATTAATTCCTTTTTTTCGACAATACGTTGGCGTGCCATAAATTAAAATACAAATTACGCATATTTTTAAGGTGTTATGTGATAAAAGAGATAAAAAAATCTCATGGTGTTATATACAGATTTATTTGGACCCAAACTCACCAAGCACATTTTATAATATGACGATATATTATTTTATGCATTATATTAATAATAATAATAATAATAATAATAATAATAATAATAATACCTAATAATAATATCGTTATTGGTATCGTCGAGCACTTGCGGTGGTCAATTAGTGCGCCGAGGATCGAGATAATTATTTGGCGAGTCAAGTTCTAATAACTAAGTAAAGTAATAATGATATTCTATCCGGTGCACCGGTTTTGTAATGATGGCACGGACTTCTTCCGGCGTATGCGATATTGCGATGTCCTTAATAATTATAATCGCGTTACATTTGCCTCCGTGCAAAACCAGGAGGGCGTGAAAATATTATTCAAAACTTTCGCTCGTGGTGCACCCGATATTCATAAATGTACGATTCCAGGAGCCGCTACGGTGAGAATAGCGATACCGACCAACATGCAATCCAACCTGATATTCCACTACAATTTGAAATTCTACGAAAGCGAAGGGGACACGTACGACGGAGTGAGCTTGAAGCGTTTCGTCATGCAGGTAGAACATAAAACGTTTTATATATATTATTTAAAAAATTTAAATATTTTAAAGAATTGATGACCAAAAGTTAAGACGATGAATATCAAATAGTGAACAATTTATTTGTATTTAAGACTTCAAGAGGGCTCAACATTGTTGCATAAAATTGTGTTGATATATTTTGTTCTATATTTTTATTTTGAAAATCTGAGCTTGCAATTTTATTGTAATTACAATATAGGTATTAGGTGATTTAGGTCACGACTCGCAATATGTAACGACCGTGAATTTCTAAAATACGTCTGTTGTTTAATGGTATGCGAAATGCATCCTATACTCGTTTCCTTAAATATATGGATATTTAAATGAACGAGTAGAATATATCGTACGACATAATATTATGATAGTATAATGATTATTGTTCGTTTATTATCCATTTTAACGTACGTCTGTGTGTGTGTGTGTGTGTGTGTGTGTGTGTGTGTGTATGGTTCTAGTCTGTCCTGGGCAATATCGTGTCGTTCCGAGTGCACGCTCCCAACAGCGGCGCTTTCCTGTTGGACATATTCGCCAATTCGGTGACGCCCAAAGAGTATCTGACCGGAGAGCCGATGAAGTTTAAGAGCGTTTGCAAGTTCAAAATCATCTGTGAAGAATTGCAAACCGTCATGGTGCCGTTGCCGGACTGCGCCAGCGGCGAATGGGGTCCTACAAAAGCCACGCGACTCTTTGGCCTTATACCCATATCACATCAGGTACGCAGCGCAGCACCCAAATTATATTATGCTTAAGTTAAATAATTGTTTGGTAAGGGGAACAAAGTATACATTATTTAGTAAATTTGCATATTATGCTTATCTATGTGGCGTGCTATGGCTTAATATAGGTATATTTTTTTCTAATTTTATAAAACGACCATGTATTTATATTTTTCCTGAATTTCCAAATCAGAAGCATAATAATGCTTTTCATATAATGCCAGATATTGAATAAATATTATTTTTTCATAATAACCATCGTATTATTCTAAGGTTTTTACGAGCGAAATAAAATGATGGCTACGTCGCAAATCTTTTGATTCACTATCTACTATATAGGTACACAGATAATTTAAATGCTTACTTACAAAATGCTAATATTCGACATGCATTCAGAAAAGGGTTCTGTTTACAATTAAGAAATTTAAAATCAATACATATCTAGGTGTTTTGTATAGATAGTATATAGGATGTTCTTAAAACATGTAAAACGTCTAAAAATCTATTAAAAACTTAATTTTTTATTGTTTTAACTATGGTGTTCATGTATCATTATAATTTATACTCCTCATATCTATTGTAATATCATGGGCCTATTATCCTATAAGAAAGTACACGAAGTTAAATTACTTAAAAGTGACACCTTCGAATTTCAATTTAGATACATCTACATTTTCAAAAAAGTCTGTAACAAAGTACATGCCGCTACATGTATCGTTATTCCTCTGTACTCTTTAAATGGTATAAAAAATCTAAATAATTGAAAATTGTACCCTTAAGACGCATACTACAAAAAGTGTTGCTCAAATAATTTTAGGTAACCTACCCTTCATAATATTGCTATACCGACCTATAAAATGTCCTATTTTTCTGCTATCAATACCCACCGAGCCATATTTAAGGTGTTGCCTAAGCAACACTCGGGCCCTATATATATTACACTGACTTCTCGAATAATCAACACACAACTGCTTTAAAATAGTTCCTATGCTTGTCTTATGAAAATGCGTTTATTTGTGTCATGCATAATCTCATCGCCGTCTCTGCCCAGGATCCACTGGTGTTCGCCGGCCGGGAGCTGGAAATCCAGTTCCGAATGTCGAAGCCGCTGACGGATTTCATGGCCACGTTGCACAAAAACGGCGTGGAGGAGAAACGGCTGTCCAAGTACATATCGCACACGATCGTGGACGATTTCATCACGTTCCTGATCGGGTTCCCGGAAGAGGGCCAGTACGGTCTGGACGTGTACACGCGCGAGATATCGTCACACAAGTCGGACGAGAACGGCCACCACAACCATCACCAGCACCAGCACCGGCTCGCCAACGGTAACGGCATCCACGGCGAAAAACACCTGCTCACCCACTGTTGCAAATACTTGATAAACAGCTCGAAACGAAATTAATATTACATATTGATAACACGCTACATAATAATATATATATAAATATAAATATCGTCGTTTCTATATACATAAGCATAATAGTATATACGGATAATGTATTTCAGTATACAATTGTTTATTCGTATATGTATTTAGTAATATAATGTACATACATATATATATATATATATATATATATATTTATGATACAGTTTGATGTACATATAACTATGTATATAGTACATTATAATATATATATATATATATGGGATATACAATAATATACATATATACGCATATAGGGTACAAAATATATTTAACGAATTTTAAAATTAAAATTGTTTGTTGTAAAACGTTGTCTATAATATTATGTATTATATTTATATTGTACACCTATGCATGCCGTATACATATTTTTAACGCTGGACATAAAAAAAAACGTAACATAATAATATATGCGATTCTAGCCAACTATGTAATTGTATTAATGTTAAATACTGAAAATATATAAATATATATATATATGTATATATATTTATTATACATAGATACTTAATGATTATTGTTGAGTTATAATAATAACAAGTTTAAAAACAAATCAAGTACCTACCACTATGCAAGGTTTTTTTATTTTTCTAAACCAGGTTTTTGAATGGCACAGTGTACATTTTTAATTATTCAAAATTGTATTCATATTCCGAAACAAACTTTGAGTGTTTTAGTCCATCAAAATCAAATTTTAGACAACTAGTTCATTAGTTCTAAGTATTTAAAGTTTAGATTAATGAAGTACAGTGGACAATATTTTGAGGGGTATAGGTAAGAGGTAACCAACCACTCTATTCCGCTCATCAAACTTTAAGCGAGTCAACTAAAGAAACCTAACTAAAGAACTACTCGTCCGAAATTTGAATTTTATTCGTAATATGAAATAAAAAATTTACTGTGTCCCGTTAAAAAAGTAAAAACTTATGAAATTATAACGATAAAAAATACAAAAAAAATATTTTTTTTTCAGAAATGTTGTTTTAAAATGATTGATCTATATAAAAAGAATATTTTTAAATAAGTTAACATTTTTCAAACTAATGAACGTAGGTACTGGTTATAAATCACCTGGTATAATATAAATTACAAATGTTTGAGAAAATATATGATTGAATAATCATCTCTTAAACTAAATTAAATTAAAATAAATTATTATCAAGCTTACAGAAAGTGTTATCAATGGGTGGCCTCTTTCGACAAAACTTCACGACATGTTAACTTTTATCACATATTCTTATTGTGTCTACTATTAAGGATACAGATTGTTTATTATTTAAAAAATAAAAATAATTATTCATTGGTCATCACTCATCCTGAAATAAATCAAAAAGTGGTCTTGTCTGTTTTTTGGTCAGCAAGCGCTCGAATAAATTGAGAAAGTCATTATTAATAGATTCGTTTGACCTGGGGGCCAATTCTTGAAATTATGCGACTAATTCTCACATGCGATAAAAGTCACAGATTTTATCGAAGGTGACTAATTTTAATCGCATGCGACTTAAAATTGGTATTCTTGAACTAAATCGATAAGATTTTATCACTTGTCGTATGCGATAAAGTATTCCGAATGAACCACTGTGGTAACAACACAAAATCTAGATTTTAACCTCAAATAATCCGGAATTCTACATAATATTTACTAGTTCTAGATAAGAAGTACTAGATAGTACTAGATAGTACTAGACTAGTCTCTAAACAGTCTAAACCGTGATTAACTTTACAACCTTACAGTTAAGTATTTGTTATATTTTTTTTTTGTTTATTTTGTTATAAGTACCATACTACCATTTTTAATATTATAATGTCTAAAGACACTAAAGTGAGACCAACTCAAACCCAGATGAGGTATTTGGTTGATCTAATGGCCAATGATCAACAATTGTGTTCGGGCAAGTTTACTAAAAGTTTTACACATAAAATTGCTCAACAAAGATGGGAAAGCATCTCTATTCAATTAAATGCATTACCAGGTGCGGAGAAGAGTTGGAATAAGTGGAAGAAAGTAAGTTAATTTGTTTGGTGGAGATATTAATTTTATAAGTATTTATAATTATTTTTTTCTGAACTAAAAATCTCTGCTCTGCTAAAAATGAGTAAAAATACTGTAACCAAACTTAAATCTTGTATTAAAAGAAATTAAGGGCCACTACATACTATCTTAAATGTTGTTATCTATCTTAAAAAACTCTTAATGAGTTATCTTACATGTTTAAATAAATATTATTTGAAGTTGAGACTCCAAACTAATTTAAGTTGATTAGGTATTACATTTTTAGTAGAGTAATAGCCTATAAATTAATCTTTTTAATTTTTAAAAAGTAGTTATCTTTAAATTAATTGTATTGTAATAATTAAGACATGGCAAGATACTAGAAACATAACAAAATCTAAAGCGGCAGCTATTAAAAGGCACATAGGAGGTACAGGTGGTGGATCAAAATGCGAAATTGAACTAAATGAAGTTCAAAAGGAAATTTTACCTTTATTTAGCCAAGCATCTGTTAGCGGTCACTTTAATTCTGAAGAGTCAGTGGTTGAGTTTGACTTTGATGATACAACTAAAGATGTGTTAACTGGTAAATTTATATATATTTCATTTATTCTAGTAATATTCAATCGTACATAAATAATTACACAGTATAGTCTTTGAATTAAATATATTTTTATTTGTATAAGTCCTACCAATTCATGTTTTATTGTATGTATTTCACATTTTGTTAAGTAATGTTCAACTATAGTATTATATTGTTTTTAGATGCTAATGAATTATGTATTGAAGAGTTGGTAGAGACAATCACTTACAGTAATTCTGAGAAAGAAAATAATGAACCCCCATTAAACATTAAAGCTGTGAATGAAAATTATTACGAGCCTTCAACTTTTGAACCATTAACAACAACTACAAGTGCTCATAAACCAAGTAAAAACTTCCAAATA